TTTTCGCTTCACACCTGGGTCATTGAGAGAGTTGCCCAAGTCGTCTTCAAAAGTGTCATCAGGCACTTCTGGTAAGAAGTCAGTCTCTTCATACTCATTGACTGGTGGCAAAGCGAGAAGGCGCATTGCAGCACCCTTCAGCGCCTGAGCAGCTTTGTCATTGCCCTGCTTATCCGTTTTGCCGTACAGTCGGCATGAAGGCAACCATGTGGATTTATCTGGTTGAGCTGGTAGATCAGGAGCTTCTACATCATCAGCGCCTGGCTCATCGTCCAGCATGTCCACATAATCTCTTCGTGGGAGAAAATCAGTGATTGATTTCCACGACATCTCTTCGCCACCATGTTGAATTTCATGAAGAGCTTCTTCCTGTGAGGTTAGTGGTCTCACAGAGTGAACACTGCAACGGTGAGCTCGGCCGCCAAGAACAACCCATACCACATGGCGGCGGTCACCACCACTCTGGGAAGGCAATAGCTCTTGAAACAGAACCCTTCCAGGTCCCACCCAGTGAGGTTTGATGGTCTTGGTGAAGCCGCTGCGCTTTCCTTTGGCTGCTTCATGTGGAAGGGACTTTCGCCAGACTTTCACCAGTGTTGCAGGTTCAAAGTTCTGGAGAGGCTGTCGGGGACATGAGTTCTTCAGCCGCACAAGTATGTTGTTGGCGCGGACTTGCCGTGCCAAATTCTCAGCTTCGCGTCTGCAAGACAGCAACTTCTCAAATTCACTCAGTGGGTGAGCTTGTTGAAGTTGGAGATGAGTAGTAATGTCTTCATCAGTCCACTGAAAAGAGTGACCGTATGCCCACTGAAAGGGAGAAAAACCATGTGCGTTCTCCGTACTATTCAACGCCGCTGTGCTAAGGGCCAGACATAGTTCCAAGCTCAGAGTGCCGTCAGAGATGAAGATCTTGTCGGCCAAAAGCTTGGTTTCTTGGACTGCTCGTTCAGCAATTCCGTGAGCCCATGCCTCCTTCTCCACAGGCGGGCTCAGCCCCAAATTGTTGGTGTGGCAAAACTCCCTGAAGGCCGCTGAGCACAGCGTATTGGCGTTGTCAGGAACCACCACCAGCGGTTTCGGTTTCTCCGCCAACCAGCCGCGACCAAAAGCTTCGATGACCATCTTGGCATTCTCGTTCCCTTGCTGATTGATGTCATAGACCATAAGAGGAACTGTGCTGCGAAACTTCGTTGCAGCATCAATCATCAATAGAAACTTCAGCTTCTTGCGCACGGACACGACATTCCACTCACCAACATCCATCATCACCATATGCCAGGCTTGAGGAAGTCGATTGGTTGATACTGGCGGAATCTTTCCGGAAGACGAACCCCCAGGTCTGGTCGCCTCGCATGCTGGGCATCGGAGACGAAGTGCTGCTTCAATCTGCCACTTTTCTTTGCAAGCTTCCCGCAAAATGCGAGCTAAATTCCTATTGCTAGGATGTCCTGAGGCCTTGTGAAACTTTTGAAGCTTGACATTCCACTCGGCAAGCTGCTTCGTGGATGGGATGATTTTGCCATCAGCTTCATGCTTCGACCACCGACCATGGCCATCTTGTTGCCAGCGTGACGAAGCCATTTGAGAGGGATTACTTGCCTTAGAGCTCTGCATGGATTGAGGCCGAAGATCTCCACCAGAGCGTTCATCTTGAGCAGGAGGTAGGACCATTTGTCCATCATCATCAGCCAAATCGGCCGGAATCGCTGGTGCATCTTCAGGAGCAAGCGATGTGGGTGAGTACCCCTCATCAGGGGGAACTTCAGCGATGTCATCAGCAATCTCGGCTGGATTCATCTCCCACAGTTGCTGTTCAAAAGTCGAATTGGGGACGTTGGAGTCCACGGTCAGGAACAGGATGGATTGCCAACGTTCTGGTACAAGTTGAGATTTCCAAGTCTTGGCAATCGCAACAACCATCTTCCAGGGATAGTAGCTGGAACGAGCTGTATCAGAGCTCTCGATCTGGAGATGTTGATGATTACCAACACACGTCTTGGCCTTGTAAAGAGCATGAAAACGAGCACATGTAGTTTTGACCAACCAACGCTTGAGTAGAGGTTCGTGTTCATGACCTGGACGACCACTAGTCAACCCATACCGACAACCATCAATTCGGCAGGGAAGCCAGTCGCGATCAAGTCGCCACAGTGCGTCTTGTAGATCAAGGAGAACCTGTTCATACCATCCTTGGAAATTGGCAGGCCATTCCCAAAAAACATGTACAGTATGATCATCAATGACATTGCGCTCCAGCCATCTCTTGAGGTTCCTCAACACTTTACGCTCTTTGCGCCGCTTGGATTCCAAAAGTTCCACCCGCTCCGGAGTGTTATAGTTGAGGGAGGTCCAAGCACACCACAACGTGCACCGCATAGAAATCCAGAGCCTCTTCGGACGCTGAATCTTGTAGAGCTCGGTCATGGATTCAAAAGTGTGAGGACGGTTCAAATCGAACCCATTGGCCAGATTGATCCGCTGACATTTCAAACCTTCTTGGGTACATGCCTCAGAAAGCCAAGACTGAGGTGAGCAGCAAATCTCCCAAACATCAACCTGATGAGGCTCCACCACAAGGTCGTGGAAGTTGGTGAAGAGGCCAAGCATCATCAATTGGAGCACCTTCACCGCCGCCTTGCCCACCTTGATCGGGACATTCTCGATCACGGTTGAACCTCGGATTGGCTCTGCATCGCTTCGGCAGCACGCTGCTCCAAGGCAATCCGCTCCTCGGCTGAGAGCTGGCTCAGGAGATCCTGAGGTGTCACCACTGGAACTGATGCCACACTCATCTGAGACACCGTGGGTGACTTGGCTCGGGCCTTTGGTGGAGTCACATGTTGCCAGCTTGGGCTCGACGTGAGCTGCTGGGGACCTGGGATCTGCTCCTCCTCGGAATTGTGCATTGATCTCCTCGGAGGTGTGAACATCTGGTGGCGTGTGGGAGATTTCGGAACTGGGGTCATCTCTGGAGCACCCAGCACCATCTGGTAGTAGCGCTCGTCGCTCTCGATCTTCTCCACAGCCACCTTCATGAGTTTGTAGTGGGGCTTCACACCCTTGAGATCTTTCTGAACCATGCTGAGAGCCTTCGCCACATAGTGAGGATCGATGTGCTCGACATTGTGAGTCAGCGAGCCCATCCTTGGAACATACTGCGTCCGTAGGTTGCACACGGCGCAGTGGGTCCATTGACCATACCTGTTTGATCCTCTCATGGAGGCGTTGTGACTCCCGAAACATGGCCAGCATTCGCCACATCTGGGGTCTCTCGGATCTGCTGGAAGAGCTCGGCTGTGATCCAACTCGGGAGCCTTGTCGGCAAGGTTGGTCTTCGGAGGCATCACTCCAAAGATTTCGATCACCAGCCGTGGATTCCTTCTGTTTGAGCCGGCAGAACGTCGATGAACACACTGTTGAAAGAAGCAACGCCGGGCATCTGTGTTGTCAAGCAAAACATGTTGAGTTGAAAACAACTCTTCTCCTTGTGTCATGTAAAGTTCCAGAACATTTGCATCCGAGATAGCTCGTGAAGGAGTCCATGTTGAATCAGACGTGAAACCATGTGGCTTGTTGGTGAGAAAAACCAAATCCAAAACAAAGTGACCCTTTGAACTAATTCGCAAACAGTTGGGATTTGCATCAGGCACGTTGGACATCCAAGAGTATCCATCCACGAAACCAAGAACCAAGCCCACACCATTGACGCCTAAAAAGTCCATGCTGATCAAAATAGGAACCAACAGTGAATCATCGTACCAAGGTTCATGATATTCTGGAGGATTCGGGAGAGCAAAAACTGAAAATTTTCGCTGATGTCCAGATGCCCATGAGGAAATTGTGACTTGACACAAGGCTTGTCCCCACTTCCCTGAACCATACCGAAAACGGGGCTTCAAAGTTTGCTCAACAGTCAATGT